TAGCTCCGGGAAGACACCTCACAAGACCACCATTGTCCATCTCCACACCTCTTATAATGGAATCACCCAACAACAACTGCTTTCTATTAAGCTTCACCATACTCTCCAAGCCGGTCTCCACAACACCACTAGTCTCAGTGCCTCTCTCCACAACACCACTAGCCTCAGTGCCTCTCTCCACAACACCACTAGCCTCAGTGCCTCTCTCTACAACACCACTAGCCTCAGTGCCTCTCTCTACAACACCACTAGTCTCAGTGCCTCTCTCCACAACACCACTAGTCTCAGTGCCTCTCTCCACAACACCACTAGTCTCAGTGCCTCTCTCCACAACACCACTAGCCTCAGTGCCTCTCTCCACACCACCACTAGCCTCAGTGCCTCTCTCCACAAAACCATTACACTCTGAAAGTGCAGAAAATGAATTATGAAGAGCAACAGACTGTGCAAAATGCCTTTTATTCACAACTCTAAGTCTACCAGATCCTACAGTAATCCATCTGCCTTTCCTAGCATGTCTCTGCGGCAGTGGCTTTGCAGCAGTTCCAGTCTGAGTTTCTTCACCAGATAATTTACAAATTTCAGACTTCAAAAATACAATCTCCTGCCGCAAGATAGAGAACTGTCTACAGATTAGACAACAACCAAACCTCCAAAAACTGGAACGTGAAACAAATGCATAGCAATTGTTACACTGAACTAAACCTGCCATTCCAATTATAAGAATAATATAAATCGAACAAATCTTAACTTTTTTATTTATCCTCCTGAATACCTCAGATTACCTCCAGGTTATCTCCAGAATATCTCCAACGACACACTTAGAAACAGCACTTGGAAGTAGCACCAAGCTATATTCAATCTATAACAGTGAAAAAAGTTTTTTGTTTTTAAATCCAAGCTATTGTGACACCAGATGTAATTGGTGGCACTGACTGGGGAAATGGGCACGAAGAGTATGCACTGCATGAAGGCCTGACACAGAAGCTGGCAGCAGTGGCAGACAACTGACTGCTATTCAATCTATAACAGTGAAAAGTTTTTTGTTTTTTAAATCAGAAGCTATTGTGACAGATGTAAGTGAGGCTGGCACTGACTGAAAATAGGCACGAAGTATGCACTGTAGGCCTGGCTTTAGAAGCGCTAGCAGCAGTGGCGAACAACTAGAGGTGCAATTTATTACATAGAAAAAATAAAAACATACCCTTATCCTAACCTAGCTATGCATTTCCCTATCTAATCAACAGCAGCCACACTTTCCCTCCTCTCACTAAGCATGCAGCTTGAGAATGAATCTAAAATGGATGCTGTCCAGTAGGTGGGAGGGTCTGCTAGGGAGGGTGTGCTGCTAATTGGCTGGAATGTGTCTGCTGACTGTGAGGTACAGGTCAAAGTTTACTCAATGATGACGAATAGGGGGCGTGTCGAACCGCGCATATGTTCGCCCGCCGTGGCGAACGCGAACATGCTATGTTCGCCAGGAACCGTTCGCCAGCGAACCGTTCGGTACATCACTACTTTCAAATAGTAGCGGTGGAGAGAGACGGGGATTCTAATGTAATTTACAAGTTGCTATAGCACTTTGCAAATCCTTGTATTTTACAATTAAAGGGTTTAACCATTTTTACTCTCTGTAAGTTTTGCTATTTATAAAATTGTCAGAATCCATACAAAGTAAGTTTATATTCAATCATATTTATATACCATTTTTATTAATCCAGTGGTGTTATGTCTAGTGTGTCAACAACAATACAAATGCTAATTTAAACGATTAAATGATATCCAGAATAAATGCTAACTTGTCAGAAGTTGTGTAAAATAATGCAAATTAAATGATATTGAATAGTATCTGTCACTGTTTCTGCTTGTCGCTATAATATGTGAATAAATGAATCATTGTATGTTTTATGTAACTATTAACAGCAATCTATACAAAAAAAATGTGTAAATTCTAATTTACAAATATGTGCGAGATCCATATCATGTTTCAGCTTTCTTTAGAAAACATCAATTCATGTTATCTGATCTAAAGTCAATCTTTATATTTTAACAATATTACAGGCTTGGGTGGGATGGGGGCTTGGGGTTTGCTTCTCCCAAGCAGAGCTTTTGTGTATTTGGGAATCTTTGAAGAAACTAAATTTCTGCAAGTATGCACTAGTTTTCAGAAGAATTGATTTAAGAAAAAAAAAGTAAATATAAAAAACTGCCTTTGCGAACTTTTAGAGGTGTGTTCAGGCAGGCATAAATGAATGTCATATTGAATAATGTACAGTTGGGATGATAATACAGACAATCTTATGTACCAAAAGTTATAGGATATTAGTGTGAAATGACATTGTTTATTGTACAATATAAAGAATGTGGCACAGGAGGTGGAGGAAAAGACAGTAATTACATGGAAATGCCTGTAGGGTCTGTTTATACTCACCAGCACAACTATATTAAGCTGCAGTTGTTCTGGTGACTATACAGGTGATACTCGAAAAATTAGAATATCGTTCAAAAGTTCATTTATTTAAGTAATACAACTTAAAAGGGGAAACTAATATATGAGATAGATGCATTACATGCAAAACAAGATAGTTCAAGCCTTGATTTGTCATAAGTGCGATGATTGTGGCTTACATCTTATGAAAACCCCAAATCCACAATCTCAGTAAATTAGAATATTACATGCAATCAATAAAACAAGGAGTGTACATCGAACAATATCGGACCTCTGAAAAATATAAGCATGCATATGGACTCAGTACTTGGTTTGGGCCCCTTTTACAGCAATTACTGCCTCAATGCGGCGTGGCATGGAAGCTATCAGCCTGTGGCACTGCTGAGGTGTTATGGAAGACCAAGATGCTTCAATAGAGGCCTTCAGCTCTTCTGCATTGTTCGGTCTCATGTCTCTCATTTTTCTCTTGGAAATGCTCCATAGATTCTCTATGGGTTCAGGTCAGGAGAGTTTGCAGGCCAGTCAAGCACAGTAATCCCACGGTCATTGAACCAGGCTTTGCTGCTTTTGGCAGGCCAAGTCCTGCTGGAAAATGAAGTCAGCATCCCCATAAAGCTCATCTGCGGAAGGAAGCATGAAGTGCTCCAAAATCTCCTGGTAGACGGCTGCGTTGACCGTGGACTTAATGAAGCACAGTGGACCAACACCAGCAGATGACATGGCTCTCCAAATCTACACAGACTGTGGAAACTTCACACTGGACTTCAAGCACCTTGCAGTGTGTGCCTCTCCATTCTTCCTCCAGACTCTGGGTCCTTGGTTTCCAAATGAGATGCAAAAATTGCTCTCATCAGAAAAGAGGACTTTGTACCACTGAGCAACATACCAGGTCTGTTTGTCTTTAGCCCAGGTAAGACGCTTCTGATGTTGTTTGTTGTTCAGAAGCGGCTTGACAAGAGGAATACGACATCTGAAGCCCATGTCAAGGATCCGTCTGTGTGTGGTGGCTCTTGATGCACTGACTCCAGCCTCAGTCCACTCCTTGTGAAAGTCCCCAACACTTTTGAATGGCCTTTTCCTGACAATCCTCTCCAGGCTGCAGTCATCCCTGCTGCTTGTGCACCTTTTTCTTCACACTTTTTCTCTTCCACATAACTATCTATTAATGTGCTTTTATACAGCACTTTGGGAACATCCAAGTTCCTTCGCAATTACCTTTTGAGGCTTTCCCTCCTTATGGAGGGTGTCAATGATGGTTTTCTGCACAACTGTCAGATCAGCAGTCTTCCCCATGATTGTGATTCCTACTGAACCAGACTGAGAGACCATTTAAAGGCTCAGAAACCCTTTGCAGGTGTTATGGCTTACTTAGCTGATTAGAGTGGGACACTGTGAGCCTAGAATATTGCACCTTTTCACAATATCCAAATTTACTGAGATTGTGGATTTGGGGTTTTCATGAGCTGTAAGCCATAATCATCGCACTTATGACAAATCACGGCTTGAACTATCTTGCTTTGCATGTAATGCGTCTATCTCATATATTAGTTTCCCCTTTTACGTTGCATTACTGAAAGCAATGAACGTTTGCACGATATAGCAGTGCCCAAACCTGGGAGTGATTAATAGAGTTGAGCGGACACCGGGATGTTTGGGTTCGGCGGGTTCGGCCGAACTTTGAAAAAAAGTTCGGGCTCGAACTTGACCCCGAACTTAACCCTGAATCAGAGCCCCATTGAAGTCAATGGGGACCCAAACTTTTGGCCACAAAAATGCCTCTAAAAAAACTCCTGGAAAGAGCCAGAGAGCTGCAAAAGCAAGTAAAATGGGGGTAAGAGTAGGACAAGTGCCCTGCAAACAAATGTGGATAGGGAAATCACTTAAAATAACATAAAAATAAAAAATACAGCTGAGCCATAAAATAGCACTAGATGGAATCTGTGATTTTAGCTTTGGAAGAACATAAATCAAAATCTAAAGCATGGCTGTCAGGAGGATCACCAGAATTATCCATGTGAGAGAGGGTTGGAGTGCAGGGTATTCTCTTTCATTGTTCAAACTGAGCTCAACTGCATGGAGAAAGGGCCTTCACAGGCCTCTGCTAATGTGTACATAGTTTATACTAAGTGACCCATAGGTTGAGGAGGCGGTGACCGTGGCGGTGTAGGTGGAAGCAGCGGTTGAGGAGGAGGTAGCCAACACTGTTTTTTATATATATATATATATATATATTTTTTAATTGGGGCAGCCCCCAAAATATTGGGACATATAAAAAAGAAACAATTGCGGCCTGCGGAGCATTTCTTGCAGTCCTGATGCATGGAGAAAAGGCCTTCACAAGCCTCTGCTAATGTGTACATAGTTTATACTAAGTGACCCATAGGTTGAGGAGGCGGTGACCGTGGCGGCGGAGGAGGAAGCAGCGGTGGAGGAGAAAGATGAGGTAGCCAACACTGTTTTTATATTATATATATATATATATATTTTAATTGGGGTAGCCCCCAAAATATTGGGACATATAAAAAAAGACAACTCTCTTCCACAGAGTAACTGTTGACATTATAGTTGTGCAGGAACTTTGTTGACTCTAGAGAACCTCGGACAAATCGCACATCCCCACAGCGGCGACTTTCCATGCGGATGTCATCCATATCAACTTTTAAATGCCAGTTTCTGCGCCTACCATGGTGACCACGGGTAACGGGGAATCATTCCGAGCAGGGACCCTGAGAAACGGCTACCACATGCAAAGAAGGCAGCAGGCGTGCAAATGACCCACTCCTGACGCGGGAAGGTAGTGACGACAAATAACAATACAGGACTCTTTAGAGGCCCTGTAATTGTAATGAGTCCACTTGAAATCCTTTAACTCTGATCAATTGGAGGGAAGTCTGGTGCAGAGCCACTGACCTGTGTGTGCTGCTGCTGAAACTCCACTATCGCCTGCTGCTGCTCGCACAGTCTCATGAGGCAGTGAGCGGGAAGGCCGAAGTTACGCTGCAGCGCAGACAGGTGAGCAGCAGCAGGGTGACAACGCCAAAAGCGTGCACAGCCGCTACAGTGAGTGTCACATCCTGTTCCAAGTTGCGGATCAGTCTGGTGATGGCTTCTGGTATCCAGTACTCTTCTTACTGAAGCTGCATCAGGGTCGTGGTATGTGGCCGCACAAACGCTGGTGTTCAACACCAGGGAACATGCAGTTACCCTGCACCAGACCCTGCTAATCCATTCCACACTGTGACTCCTAACTTCAACATCAGGCATACTGGGTCCCGGTCGTCCGACCGCCGCCCAGACAGTGTCTGGGTCCTAGTCACCGGACTGCCCACCTGACTGTGAAACTACAAATGGATCATTATATCTGATACAAACCCGAACTTTGCAGTTCGGGTTCGCTCAACTCTATTATGAATCCTTTGATCGCTACATGTATTACTTGGATAACTGGTAATTCTCAAGCTAATACATGCCGACGAGCGCTAGGGGATGGCCGCTACGCTTTTGCACCCTGCTCCCTCTAATGCTGTGCTGGTGCCTCTGTGCGACCAGCGCCTCTACTTCCAAACTGCACACGTCACTTGCATGACCTTGATTCCATGTAGGGTGTAGGACCTCATCATCCTCCACAACATCTTCCACCCATTTCTCAACCTTGCCCTCCTTGCCAGTATGCACACTGCAAAAAAGCCACAGCAGTTGGCGCCTGTGTTTTTCCAGCATGTAAAGACTGCAAAGGACATATGGAGATTGTTTTAGAATTTCCTCCAGGCAACAGTTTTCCCTATAAACTGACCTCTCAGTTTGACTTGTGAGGGTATTGCCCCACAATTACAATATTGTTGAAGTACCTATTGATCACTGGTTTAAATATAGCAGCTTGTTATCTGGTAGTTTCTAGCTTCTATTTGACTCTCAGACATGAAGTGCACCCCACTAATGTATTAGTTTGCAGAATTCTTTCCTAAGCTGTCCCTATCAGCGGCAGCATCCTCTCCCTACACTAATAAGACCGCATGTGCGTGCCATGCTAGGCAACTCCAGCTTATATATATAGGCTGGGTCACATGCTGCACTGGCCAATCACAGCCATGCCATTAGTAGGCATGGCTGTGATGGCTTCTAAGGGCACACGAGTCAAACGCTCCTCTCTCTCCGCCTCCGATCCTCCTCTTCAGCTGAATGCGCATGTGCGGCAGGAGCTGCGCGCGCATTCAGCCGGTCTCATAGGAAAGCATTTACAATGCTTTCCTATGGACGCTTGCGTGCTCTCACTGTGATTTTCACAGTGAGAAGCACGCAAGCGCCTCTAGCGGCTGTCAATGAGACAGCCACTAGCGGATTTGGAGGAAGGCTTAACCCATTCTCTGAAACTGCTATGTTTATAAATAAAATGGGTTAACCCTAGCTGGACCTGGCACCCAGACCACTTCATTAAGCTGAAGTGGTCTGGGTGCCTAGAGTGGTCCTTTAATATTTTTTGCACTAGCTCATAACATGTAATCTACTTCTGAAATTCACGTTTAATTTCGGACAATTTATACTTTAGCGTATATCCCCGATGCTCTGGCTAGTTACGCTTAGAAGGCTATTGGCCGGAAATAATTTAGATTAAACATTAATGATACAGTGTATGACAAAATTCCCCTTTGGTATGTATTTAATGTAGTTTTACCAGCAGGGGTCACTATAACAGAACATATTAATCTACAGATCTGTTTATTGCGACCAACTCATATAAATCTTTATTAAATATTAATTATTATTATTATTATTTTGTTATTTATATAGTGCCAGCAAATTACGTAGCGCTGTACAATGGGATGGTAGTAAACAAGCTTAAACATGGTTAGATATGATTAGATATGGTTAGATAAAATATTTCTGGGAAAAATGATAAACATATATGTACCTGTCAATAATGCATAATATAAAAATGTGATTTAAAATAAATTTTTTCCTAATTCTGTTTGCAGTTTTCTATTTGTTTATTTATTGTTGTGCAAATAATGGGCTATTTAACCTTATGTGCAATGTTCACCAAGACACTTCATCAAAGGCGTCAAAATAAAAATATAAGAGAGAGAATACATGGACCAGAAAACCTCATAGTCTGCTTTGCAGGTATTTTGTCACTGAAAACACCCCTATTTCGGAACTCCTACCACCTTCTTGGGTGACGCTTCTCTTATTACAATTGCTTTCCTCACGTCCCTTGCCTCCATAGCCCATCACTGTCGGGATCCTGTGGGCGGCTGCGAGGGGAGGCTGCACTCCGCTCGCGGTACTCACCCTCCAGCCGTCCGCGGTCTCCTCCGCCTCGTGGGCTCGGCGAGCGGTATCCTTCCAGCCTCGGATGCCGCCCGCGTTTTCCTCCTCGTCCCCCAGCGGCAGCATGCATGACGCTGCACGCTGGGAGACCGCCCAATATATTACACGCCGGGGTCAGTCACCTGACCCGGCGTTAAAGGCACAGTGCCTCAATCACAGTGGGAGGTTTAGATATCTCCCACGTGTTATTGTTAATTCTGATTGGAAATTATCCAATCAGAATTAACCTTATGGTTTAAATACTTACCTTTCCTGTTCCTCCCTGCCCTGTTGTGGTCTTTACTTGCTAGTATTGCTACTTACCTTGTGGTTCTGGTTACGTACTCTCTGGCTTGTTTATCTGACTCTGTGACTTTCTCCTACCCTTTGACCTCGGCTTGTTTCACGTTATTCTGTCTTCTGGTTCCCTTACTCGGCTTGTCTCCTGACTATTCTGTGTGTGCTTAGCCCGGCCACTCTAAGGTCCGGTACTGCACCTTTTCTGTGTGTGTGTGTGTTAGCGTGTTGGGTTCCCAGAATCGTGACAATCACACTCTCTCTTCCACTGTTCACTTGTTCCACACACAACCTTACTAGCTTACTTCGACACAGGCATCCTATCAATCAATCCCTCCTCCCCTCCGACATGCTGTTCTTTCTCTTGTGTTTTCTTATCCCTTCCTCACATATTGTAAAGCAGGGCCTCTTCACCTCGTGCCTGTTAATATTTTGCATACAATTTCTTGTTTTCCTTATTCTATAATTGTAATAATATGTAATAATAATAATAATAATAGGTCCCTTCTGTATGAAATACACAGAAACCTTAGACATGTTTTGGCCTCTTGTCTAGAACATGTCCGTGATGTGCTGTAGCTGAGACCCCTCTAGACACAGTGAGTAAGGGGGTCCCATCTTGATTACTCTTCAGACTGATGCATTTTCTCCGAGTTTTTCCATGAACTGACAGAGAACGGACACACTTTGACAAGAAACACAAGAACTGAATTGATGGAAAATGAATTTATTTCAATAGGCAAAGTGCATTAGTCAGAGACACGCTTTACTCATCAGAAAATAAAAACTTTGTGCAGTTTGCAGAACATTTCCTACCTTTTTTGGTAAAACCTTTGGTAAAAAAGAAATTGTTTTGAAATAATCTTCTCTGCAGTCTAGACACTTGATTTGTGGGCAAAAATCATCATTAATTCCTCATATATTAATCTGTATTTCTTCAATTTACAAGTAATATACATATATTTAAATATAGTAAAGTGAATTCTAGTTCTGGATACAGTATCTTGCAGCCATTGAACACGTGGAGAGCTAGTCGGCTGTAAGAAAAGCTGCAAATATTAGATGCACGTCCTTTCTATGGCTGCTTCAAATCAATCATGTGCTTTTGTGTCCCCGTTCTGAGACTTTTCATTGAGAAAATGTGCTTTGTGCCCTTGAATATTCTTCATTTATTTCTCAGTAACATAAAAAAATCATCAGCGCTTAGTATCAAGCGCACATTACCTCTAGCCATAACAAAATAGTCATTCCTCATAAGGATAAGCATAATTGAATGATTTTCTCTGACTGACTTTGAAAGGTCAGCACAAACTCTTAAGTTTTACTTATCATTCTCCCTGCTGTTCGAAACAGACTGTTTTTGCTCACGGTATTGCACTTTTTTGTACTTGCTTTTCTTTTTTTTATTTTGAGTCCTGCTACTTTGTTTAGCATAAACCACAAGAGATGCAATGCTATAGACTAGCGCTGCCATGAGACTCTCTTGTTTCCACATTTAGATGATCCAGTAATCCTCAGTTTAAGTCATGAAGTACCATTTCCCATCGTTGACTGATGGCCATGGTCTCGCAAGGATTAATGACGATCTCTCGGTTGTTGTCTTCGGAGTCACCAATAATTTCCGTATCTAGGCAGAAGCGAGATGCCATGTGCTCAATGTGAGAGCCAACTTTAGTCCATCGCTGAGGGAGAGAAATATAGTAGAAATTACAAGTGAAACATTCAGATACAGAGCTGCCGAATTGTTTCTTGTACAGTACTAAGTCATATTTATTTACTTTCTAAATATTTATAACAGGAAAGACACATTGAGTTTTCTCTTGTTTCAAATATCTATAGTAATTAAAGTGAACCTTTCATGACGAATATAGGTTTGCAATTTTCTAACAATCTTGGCTCATGTTAAATAATTAATTAATCCCTTAACTCTAGTAAAAGCTCACATTTTATTTATTTCCATTACCCCGTCTCCTGCTGAGACCATTAAACATGTTTCAGTGGGTGTTACACTTGCTGCAAGACAGACCTCATTCTAAAATAGGCACTATGGAAGCCTTGGACTGCCGGCAGCAGGGACACAGCTGGTTGTTTTAATACAGTGAGTTGATGCTATATGCCAAATGGCAGTGCCCTATTCATAAAAATGATCTTGAAGATTTTCAGAAAGTGAATATTATGGGCATTAGAAAGCCTCAATCAAAA